CGCGTGATCCATAGATCCTTGGCTCCTTCGACATAATGCACGAGGTGAATGTTTTTCAAAACCTTGCCGGAGCTACCACTCCTCTGCAGGCTCAAAGGTCCGACGGAAAATACGAGATTCGCCGCGCGCGGAAACAAAAGCGAGGCAGACTGAGGCGATTTTTGTTCTGGCTGTTTTTGTGGGAGCTTTTGAAAGCTGTGCTGCTAAAGCGGTACGTCATGTTGTACTTAACAACATCTATAAAGGCAAGTACTCGTGCTCGACCCGGGGGTGCGATGCCAGGTTTAATCTTCAGGTTGCAAACTGAGGGTCTTTCCTGACGAAAAAAACCCTTCCTGTTGTGTCGCTCACAAAGATTTCAAGCAATATTGTTGACTGATCTCAGCTCATCATTGTGCGTCCAGTTGCATGCTGCACGTGTGACCTTTGTGCTAGTTCGTGATCTGACGCAGAATACAGATCAGCAGAACACCTATCAGTGGTCTGATATTTGGATGCTGTGATGTGATGTGATGTGCGTTGTGGTGTGGTGTGGTTGTTGTAGTGGGGTGTGATGCTATGATGTGACGTGCCCTTACGATGAGGTGTACTGCTGTGATGTGGTATGATGTGATGTGATGTGGTGTTGTGATGTGGTGGATGTGGTGTGTGATGTGGTGTGATGTGGTGTGATGTGGTTGTGATGCCGGCTATATTGGTCTGTGGCGGCCGATGGAATGTGACTCAGAGAATCGCGGCCCATCGCTCTTAGTCAACAAAAAAGGTGGACAATGATACGGGGATTTCCTGCTTCCATGGTGGTACCTGATAAAATCGCCGGCTCGCTTAGGCTGAGGATGCCTGCATCATGCCATGTTATATGCCAGGTAGCCGTGATGTTATGTAAGGCAACCACATAGCCGTCAGCCGGTCATTGTCTGTACGCCGCTGCGGCTATGTGGCGTCGCTTGCCCCCCTCACCCTGGCAGGAACGGCGGGCGCAGGGGGAAATCAAACCGGGTGATTGACGTTTCCCAGACATGCAGCTTGTCCACTGTACTATCAGTACCTCATAGCCGTTCGTGCTCAGTGCGGGGGGTCACTTTATATACTTTCGGTGGCCCAGCCCCCCCCCCCCCAATGCTGACATGAGCCTCCCCCCCCCACAATGCTGCAGACGGAATGCCGGGACAAATAAACGGGACCGATTATCTTAACTATTGGTATACTACGTGGTGGGTACCCAAACACATCGTTTAAGTATCATGTTAATCTGATGCCAAACAGTATACTGCAGGTGCCTAATGTTTTTGTCATGCTATCTCCTTCATATGTGAAGCCCATTTGTGAATGTTTGATACAATTTTCAAATGATGACGTCTGGATTGGGATGAGAAAACAACTGACTGCATTATGCAGCAACTTTTGAAATTACAGGGTGGCCCAGATAAATGTGAACTCATGGCTTCCCCGGCAGTTGCAAGTGTATTTGCCGCACAATTATCGCTTTAGCGGTTAAACAACACGTTCGGTGGCAGCGGTAGGCATCAGTGATCCCTTACTAACATTTACTTAAGTTTTTTTCTATGAATTACACCCCATTCTAAGCTTTCACAAAAAGGCAGCCCACTTCAACGTGAAATGGGAGATATTCCTCCGCAGGAGACAACTTTTAATCTACGAACTTCTTACGTTTTTTAAACATTAGCATCAATGACGCGTTTTCCAGTGGCCGAAATCCGGGGGGGAGAAAGCAGGTTTTGGGGGTAGGTTTGGTCTGCCTTTTCGGCTGAGCCCTTCAACCGATTTTAGAAGTGGCATTCGTGTGGTTCAGTGACAGCTAAAAGTGTATATATGCTTGTTGCATCGTCAGGGGCTGGGGCAAGCAAACTCGCAGGAAGTGCGGAGTGAACAGCTACGATCCTCCCGAAAACACGTAAGGCCCTCCTGTGATCCTCCATATGCATGTGGTCTGTTGCACGAGCGACTGCGTCTGGTTCGTCTAAAAATTAGTGCGGTTATCACAAAAAGGCCGCTTTTGTTTGATTTGTTACTTTATCACCATTGAGCTTTCGGACAGTTGCTTTCAATTGAATGTTCGCGTTGAATGTTAATGTTCGCGTATAGGGCTACTAGGAGATATCATAAGGATTAGAGGTACATAAAAGCGAAAATTGGAAGCAAATGTCCACCCGAAAAATTGCGATAGCAATGAATGCGTGATAGCGATCGTATGCCTGGGTTCCCCTCCGCGCCTGCCTAGTTCAATAAGCGCCGGGCAGCGAGTTGCGGAAAATACAGCCCTGGGGTTACCAGAGGAAAGGGTCGGCTGGACGGTCTGCACGACAAAGTTCAAGAAGAATGCAGGGAAAGGGCAGCCACCTAGTCCTAAACATTGTCCAATCCACAGGGTTGGTTTAGATTCACTTCTGCCTCGGGCACTGACAATGTCTCCACCTACAGTGCAGTGTATGCGTTAGTCACTCTGCTTTGGTCACTGAAAATGTCCACCTACAGTGCAGCGTATGCGTTAGAGTCACCTCTGCTTCGGACACTGAAAAATGTCTTCACCTACAGTGCAGCGTATGCATTAGAGTCACTTCTGCTTCGGACACTGAACAATGTCTCCACCTAAAGTGCAGCGTATACGTTAGAGTCACTTCTGCTTCGGACACTGAACGATGTCTCCATCTACAGTGCAGCGTATGTATTGGCGGGGTCGCAGCCAATATTTTTTTTTAAGACGGAGGGGGGCGGTGCTCGGTGGCGCGCACCACACCGCTTTTGACTTTCCATCGAGAGTTATTCATGGTGAAAAAATAGACATCGTCAGGATGGAGCATAGTGAGTGGGAACATGTGACAAAAACTGGTGGTGATGTGATAAGACAATTTGCGCACGCTGTGACCTCGGCTCCTGCCCCTCTGCCATTTTTGGAGTGGTGCGGTAGGCCTCCGCGTTTTAGGTGGTGATCGCAGCTGCTGTGACCAGCAGCTAACACGCAGCAGCTATTGCTGTGGCTGTGGCCGTGCTGTGGCCATAGGTATGGCCGTGGCCGTTGTTGCTGCGGTCATGGCTTCTACGGCCGTGGCTGCCGTGACTGTGGGCGCTGCTGCGGAAACGGCTGTGATAGTATCTGCCCTTAACTGTAACCAATCAGGAATGTTGTCAATAAATTCCAGTATGGGGTGGAGGGCGGTTTGCCCTCAGTGCTGGCGACCGTCTCGTTCATCCTTAATTTATATCCGTTAGTGCGGCTGTTCGACGAGACGCCGCAGCATACTGGTGGCAACGCGATTCGTCGACCGTCACATCCAAATGTGGTGAAATGATTTTGCGTTTCGTTTTAACTGAGCCTAACGATTAATCATTTGGAAATTATTATACAGACAGTAACGCTTTGCTTCTCCGATTGTGTAGTATCCCTCTTTTTGCTGCATTTGTTTGTTTGCTAACGCTGCAAAAATACACGAAGCGACGGTTCCAATACAACATATCCAGATCCAGTAACAGTAATCCAGAGCGCTATCGCGGAAAGAAAAGCTCAAACGCCAACATTTTAAGTTTTGCGACTTTTGGGGCTCCAAGGCTGCTGCTAGAAACTGGAATGTTTTACTGGGTCTTGCAAGGGATGAAACATTTTTTGAAACATTTTACAACATTTTAAGTGTTTGTGACTTTTGGGCTTCAAGGATGCTGTTAGAAAAACGGAATGCTTACTGGGTTTTGCAAGAAATGAATAAAAAAATTGATGCTGCCAATGCCACGGAGCAGAAGGTTTGAGAACAAACCACGGTGCCTTAATGTCTTACTCGGAATAACACGCAACAGGCTTGCGCGTGACACCTGGCGATTTGACCTTGCGTTTCAAGAGGAAAAGTGAAGTGATAGAGCGTAACCATAAAACCAAAAAAAAACTTATGTCATTTCGAAAGTAAGCCGGAACTGAAATAATGTTCCCCATCTTTGAAATAGATTGCTTGGGAATTTTTGACATCTTGTTGGATATGTCACTAAACTAAGCAATCGTACAATCAAACATTTTTA